CTGAACAGCCCCAGGATATTTTCCTAGCTTTGGCCACATGGAAGGATACTGTCCAATGAGGTGAAGGTAGAATAGTTGTATGGTAATTTCTTCTGCAAACTTTCCTTAAGAGACAGTGTACATGTACCCTTTTGACCTGTCTTCATGATTTCCTCCATCCTGTTTCCAGAATAAAGTTGTCAGATACAACCAAAGCAATCTTCACTCTTACAGATTTACAGATGATGATGACAAGTGAGTGACTAAGCCTTTTGGACACCCTAGATAAGGTGTTCACATAGCACTCTTTCCAAAGGATAACACAGAAGCTCCTACCTGCAGAGGACTCTCTAACACACAGGTGTTTTTTTTTTGTTTTGTTTTGTTTTTCACAATTTTTTAAAATTTGAATTAAAATGCATTTCGGTAAAGCATTTACACCAGTTTGTTATAGATCCAACCATGCCCATTACATCACATCCAGTTTTACTTAGCTATAATACATGCCTGTTCTCTGAAGGAATTGAGATTAAGACCTCTGAAATATCTTTTCACTATGGTGAACATTTATTGAGACTAGAGGGTGAAGGCCATGGGGAGGAAAGGCCCCCTGGTGGTGGTGGCCCACCTTTTCTCTACTACCCAGAGCAAGGCAGTTCTAGAACCAAGTTCCTTACATGGACTCCACTCAGCAAAACAGAAGCTCTGCAATTACCCTGACACCCACTGGGGAGAAGAACGTCAGCAACGATTTATGTTATTCTCAAATGCCTTGAAGACCTCTCACCACCAGTAACCCCCATCCACCAAAGTAGTTGATGAACATGTTTCTTCTAAAAGCACAATCTCTTTCCTGAGAAGAATTCTGGTCAGTGGATACCTTCAACGGGCCACACTTGCAGGGATATTTTAGGACCTTTAAGTCCAATGTTTCTAATGTAGCAGGTGGTGCAGTTTCCAGAGATTGGGGATACTGAGAAGGGGACGGTTTTTAGGAGGAAATAATGAGTACAGTGAGGACATGTAGAATATGAATCACCAGTAAGCCATCCACATGGATTGTTCAGAAGAGGCAAATGGCATCCTATGCCCTAGAACCGTGTTCAGCAAACTGTGACTCGGGAGCCACATGCGGCTCTTTGGCCCCTTGAGTGTGGCTCTTCCACAAAATACCACAGCCTGGGCGAGTCTATTTTGAAGAAGTGCTGTTAGAAGAAGTTTAAGTTTAAAAAATTGGCTCACAAAAGAAATTTCAATCGTACTATTGATATTTGGCTCTGCCGTCTCATGAGTTTGCCAACCACTGCCCTAGAGAGACTGTCAAAGTGGACTCTCACCATGTCCTGCCGGATGTGCTGGGCCTAGATGTACGCCCAGGAAGAGAGAACATTCAAGCAGGATGAGGAGCATTGGCAATGACAGAAAGATTTGGGAGAGTGAGGGCATGTTTCAGATCTGTGTGAGATCTAAACAGTGACTCGCACCTCATCTCCACACTACTTTCCTAAGGCTTTTCAATGATTCTCCATAGAATCCTTGGTATTTAGAAATCACCTTATTTAGTATACTTTCCTGTAGCAAATACAATCCATTTGTAAATCAGGAAAAAATATACACACTAGGTTATAAAAAGGTGGTTTCTTAACTGGTGTTAAGCTACGAATAATCTTTTAAAAAGTGGCTTTCTCAGCTCAAAATGCAGACAGTACAGTGTATTTATAGTAATAAAAAGCTGGAAACAACCTAATATCTAAAACAATAGAAAAGTTTAAGCAAAATATGACAATATGATATGTTCATATTATGTCATGTTATGTAATAATTGAACATAATTTTACAAAGAATTTTAAATAAGTGAACATTCTTATTTAATCTACAGCAAAAGAAACCTGCTTGATGCAAATTGTTACACAGTATGTCACAACAAACTAGGTATACAGGGGTGGGCAAAAGTAGATTAATAATAATAATTACAATAATCAATTAATAATCATATAAGAATAAAGTGTGTTTCACATACCTATAACTGTAAACCTACTTTTGCCCAATCTGTATTTTGTAAAAACACTTGCAGGTATATGATGAAATGTTTCCAGAGTTTTCTCTGGTTGATGAGAGAATTCCTATTTTAATACCATAAATGTGCTTTTTTAATGAAGAAAAAATAAGCAAATTAGATCTGTGATTTTTATGATTCCAAAGGGGTTTGTCTCATGTCCAAAACTCTAAAAGGAACACATCCCAACTTCTACCCTTGTGGTGCAGATAAATGTGAAGAGGGAAAAGCAATTTACTCATTTTCTAAAAATGATAGTTAGAAAATGCTTATCTAATATAAACACAGAATTGAAGAAAATGCATAAACATTGATTATTATGAGGATATGCATAAACAATTCTTCCTCCTGCATTTTTAAGTAGAGACTCAAGGCTATATGAAGTTGGCTTCTTGGAATACAACATAAGGGAGACACAGGGGTCCCTGTCATTTCCAAAATTAGCAAGGATTATCATCACTAACATGTCAGACACCCTTCCCTGTGGGGGGAAAAAAAAAGAATATCAGCTTTTAGAAGTACTCAAGGAAGTGTACCTTCTTCCAATATGCAGAGTTAGAGCTATCACAATAATACACAGTTAACAAGAACTTCCCAAAATTGTGGGCTGACATTCTCCATAAAATAATTGAGTCAAGGTTTATGCAAATGTTTTATTAAACATTGCCACAGAGCTCACTATCTTACCATGATTACACAGTCACCAAGTAACAAAGGAAAATCCTTTGTTTAGGAAAGATTCAAAACACTTCTTGGAGTGCTACAGTTATTTATTTAAAAGGGCACTGAGTGCAAAATAAAATTTTAAATGGCTTTATGAAAATATTTTTATATTTTGCAATGATGGGGACCAGGAGTCTTATTAATGATTTTTCTAAACTGTAAAGTAGGAAGGCATTTCAAACCAAAAGGATATCACATGAACTCATAAAACTTTAAGGACCTAGCAAGATAGATCTTCAGTAATTCAAATTTGTAAGAAAATATTTTAAAATGATTTTGGAAAGGGAGAGAGAGAGAAAGAGAGAGAGAGAGAGAGAGAGAGAGAGAGAGAGAGAGAGAGAGAGAGAGAGAGAGAGAGAGAAAAGGAAAGAGAGAGAGAAAGAGAAAGGGAAAGAGAGAGAGAGGGGGGAGAGAAAAGGAAAGAGAGAGAGAGAGAGAGAGAAAGAGAGAAAGAGAGAGAGAAAGGGAGAGAAAGGGAGAGAAGAGAGAGAGAGAGAGAGAGAGAGAGAGAGAGAGAGAGAGAGAGAGAGAGAGAGAGAGAGGTTGCCTTCAGTAGGTGCCCTGACAGGGAATCAATGCTGAAACCTCTTGGTGTGGGACAATGTTCCAACTAACGGAGCCACAGAGGCGGGACAGTAGGTCTACTTTTAAGTTTTCCAATCTTACGAGCATACGGCATGGACAAACAAACAGATAAATTCAACTTTTACTTGAAGATAAAGCTATATAAATCACCAATAATAAAATTATCTTTATTTGTTATGACATCATTTCTGTGAGCAAAAGTATAAGGCCAATTTAAAAAATCTACTGGCTTTGTTAATTTTGGTTTAGAGCTTGACTGGAAAACTTCCAGCTAACGTTTGTGAGTTGCAACTTTCTATTTCTCTCTCACACGGGCTTTCCCTACTCCCTCGGTCCACAGTCTCTGACTCAGAGACTATTTGGAGAGGACACCTGTTTTAAATGGATCCACAGGAAATACCTACGCTGTCTTTTCATCGTTCGCCCCTGCATCTGGTTGGCTGTAATGTGATCATGCTGCCCACAGACTGATGAAACTCCAATGTAACAACATTTACTGGAAGGCAAGGAGAACCCGGTTTATATTTATTTTCCTTCCATTAAGGCCTGGATGCGTAGCGTAGGAAAAAAATAAATAAGCAAAAGGGCAAAGCCAGTTTAACCCTGAGAAGATTAGTATTAAATTACATATATGGGTTTTACATCCTAATTCAGAATTTGTTTTTCAGCAGAATGCAATCTTGCAGTATAAACAGTTATCTGACACTTTTTAAAAAATAACTTTTTTTTTTTATATCCATAAACATCGTTGTCCAAAGTTCACAGCCTGCCTTCTGATGCATTACCAGGGTATTTATAAACCTCCTGTGGAGAGAGCAGGGAAGTCTACCTCCTGGGATAGAATTTATAAGGGAGTTCTACAGTGATGAATAGTAACCCTAAAAATCCAGGCTGGGTCCCAAATAAAGCAAGCCACTCCACCCGTGCTCAGGTGGACACCCCACGTTCACACCTCCACCAAGCGCCCCCCTCCGCCCCCCAGTTGCAGTGTTTCCCAAACTTTTGACATATGTGTACCCCTTCTATAATTTCCGTAACGCTGAGTACCCCTCGTACTCATGAGAACGTAGAATTAGGCGCAGCTAAGCACGGTGCAGAGCATATCCCCACCAAACTCTTCCCGTACCCCTGGGGGAACGCATACCACACTTTGGGAAACACTGATCTGCAGGAGCAACCACAAGGACCTGCGCAGAGACCCCCCAGCTGGGACCCTGGTGGACCCCCGGCTCCGCTCTCCCAGGCCGGGCTTCGAACCTCCCGCCCGCCCTGTTGTCATCACCGACCACGGTCCCCACAGCCGGGCGTGCTCTGGGGTCACCCGCACCCCCCTTCCCAGGACGCCTAGGGGGCGCCCCGGCAGGGCCACCAGGGACGGAGCACGCGGGCACAGAATGACGGGGATGACGACAGAGCTGACGCCACGCCGCCCTCGGCCCGGCCCAACCCGGTGCCCACGCGCCGCCCCGCCCGCCGCCCGCGCAGGTTGCCCGGCGCCGGTTGCCAAGGTCCCGGGGGCGCGCCCCGCCCGCCGCGCCCCGCCCCCCTGCCGGCCGCGCCGGCTCCCCACCGCGCACCCCGCGCCTCCCTCCTTCCTTCCCTCCCTCCCTCCCTCCCTCCCTCCCGGCCGCCCGGCCAGCCCAGGCCTCTGGCGAACATGGCGCTTGTCCCCAGTCAGGTGCTGCGGGTGGCGATCCTGCTGTCCTACTGCTCCATCCTGTGCAACTACAAGGCCATCGAAATGCCCTCGCACCACACCTACGGCGGGAGCTGGAAGTTCCTGACGTTCATAGACCTGGTAAGGCTGTCCTCTCCCCTCCCCGGCCCTGAGCCTATTTGGGGGCGCCCGAGCACCTGTGCGCAGGCGCCGCTAGCATCCATCCACTGGGGCCCCCGCCTCTCCCCCAGGGATTGCGCCCGAAGGCCTGGCTGTGCCCCACGGCAGCCCCTCTGCACCGCCCCAGGTTACCTGGTTGCTGCTGGGGCTCGCGTGGAGGTGGGGTGCAGCCAGGTGGTGGGCTGGCTATGCGGAGGGGAACCCGGACCTGCTTCTAAGAGGTGACACGAAGAGATTCTCAACTTAATACGTGGATTGGACGACCGTGGCCCTGAGGGGCCTCGGACCCATTCGCCCAACGTGCTTTCCCAGAGCACCCATCGTGGGATCAAGTTGCAGCGGCTGTGGAAACTGGGTGCTGTCCAATTGAACCTGGGGCTCCCTCTGCAAGGGCCAAAACCCTCCACACAAAGAAAAGAAAGCGCCTAATAAAGTTGTCTGTTGCCCATTGTCGATGGTAATGTCCTTACAACCATTTACCCAGAAACATTCAGAATGAAAGGTGGCTCACTTGCTCTCCCAGGACACACTGTAAAGTGACCAAGCACGGCCAGAGGGTTCAAACAAAAGCCACCAATGCTAAAGACGGCGGAAAACCTACAGCCAATTCCTGGGGAGGCCCAGGTTGGCTGCACAAGCAAGATTGTCATCTCTATTGTTGACCCTTAGTGTTGATGAGGAGAACTTGATGCCTGCTTTAAGATACTTCCAAAAAGGCTTGAGACCTTCAAAGAAATGTAGCCACAGGCTTGTGTTTAGAAAAACCACCTTCTATTAGATACATTCAGAGAAGAATTTAAGTTCCTTTTCCCCCCTGGCAGTCTCCAAATTGTGCTCATATCCTGTAGCACCAAGACTTCCCACTTTTCAAAGGTTTCATTTTTCAGATCTTCGACTTCCATGTCTTTCTTGATATTGAACTCTCTCTCTCTGAATATGTGTGATGCCTGCCAGTTGTTTTTTTTTTTTTTTTTTGCTCCCCATTCACCCAAAGGATGAGCACATGACAAGGCTCTGTGATGGGCTTATCTGCTCCTTTAAGCATTCGGAAGGTAGATGATTGTCACCAGGACTGTCTTTACATTTGATTGAAAAAGGAAGTCCTACTTGTTTTGACAGGAATGTGTTTTGGGTTGGCTGGCTCCTCAATGATGGTTGGCCCTGCCAATTATGCAATTTGGTATATTTGCCATAAATTGAATGAGTGAAATCTTCAGCCCTGAGGTTCTGGGAAATGTGTAGCAGAGCGTTAGAAACCATGCCCCTTTGAAAGTCTTTAAACTTATGTTAGAAATATTTAGATATCATTTAAAATATGTACCTAGGTTTTCAGAATTCTTTTAGGGGCGATGTGAACAAAATTCCTCTTCAATTACTACAGCATCCCCTTCCTTAATCAGACTTTACCTAGAGTGGGCCCATTTAGTGCCACCTAGGAGCAATGTTGAACCAAAACACTGTTGGAGACCCCAGCAGATCCATAGGAACTATGAACAGCACCCAGAAGCACCTTTGCGTTAGATACAGGGTGGAGGGGAGCAGAGAAGAGTGTGAGCAGGTGAGAGAGATCTGCATGGACAGTGCTGGTTAATCCATAAGAGATGACTGCTTCTCATATTAGCATTGCTTCCTGTGTGTTAAAAAACAAGACTCACAAAAAACAAGACTCACAGAGATGATGCAAGATTGTTGGCTTTGAAGATGAAGGAAGGATCCAAGAACCAAGGGATGTGGGAGTTGTCTAGAAGTTGGAAAGGACAAGGGAATAAATTCTCCTCAGGAGCCTCCTAGAGAAATATGGCCCTGCTGACACCTTGGTTTTAACCTGGTAAGACCCATTTTAGGCCTCTGCCCTGCAGAAATGTAAAATAATGTGTGTTGTTTAAGTCACTAAATATATCGTAATTTGTAACAGCAGCAATAGAAAGCTAGTACATGTGACTTTATGTCCTCAGACTTAGAAAAGAAATTCTTAAATGTTGTTGTATTTATGCAATGACTCAGCTAGTTCTTTCTGTATCCTAGGTAATTGGTTAATTTGAGCTTTAACCAAAATATATGTTTTTTTTCCTACTGCATCTATGAAACTATGCAGAGGAGACATAAATGTAACAATGGGCAATATGAGAATCTATAAAAACTGAACAACATTGGAAAAACTAGATCTTTGCTTTACTGTAGAGTATTTTGGAGACTATCACTATGCAACATGCTGTGCCAGGAGAAGGAATATCCTTAACTGGAAATAAGTTGGAAAGAAAGAAAATTTAGCTAACTAATGTTCAAATACCTCCTTAACCCATATTACAGCTGATGAATTTTCTTCAAATGATGCAGATTCCGTCGCTGGTCACTAATCAAAGGCTAAGTGGCCCTCCCCCCCAAGTTATGTAACAATTGTCCCCAAAGATGATAAAAATGAGGAATCAGAATAAAACCAACATAAATAAATTAAATGAAAAAGGCAGATGCATGTTGAGGCCTCAAAGTAATGCTGAAGTTATAATAGGTATTTTTAAATATTTGAACACATGGAAACTTTTTCTTACCAAATTTTCAATGAGCATTCTTTTCTTGCCCTGTCTCCTCCTAAAACATTAAAAATAAAAGAGCTTTTTGAAATAGATCAACCTGAACTTTATTCAAATATATATGGTAGACTGTCTAACAGAGAATCAACTTCTCTGAAAAACATGAACTGGACATTTGTTATTAAAAATTTAATTAATATTGACATTGGATTTAGGAAATTTGATTTTTAAAGATTGAAACAGAAAACTGGCTGTCCCATTTGCTCTAGCTGGTAGTTCCCACTGTTTGGAGAGTTATCCCTTTGGGCTACATTTTACTCATTATTTTTCCTGTACTGACTTTTCATTTCCGCATGCGCTGAGGTTGTTTAGGCACTGCGTCATCGAAGTGTGGTCTGGGGAACAAAGATTCCAACTTTTCTGGGAACCTGCTAGAAGGTGGAACCTTGGGCTGATCCCAGACCTTCTGAATCAGAGTCTGCACTTTAATATGGTCATCCAATGTAATATAATAGCTGCTGCCCTAGGCCTCAGCGTTTCTGTTTTTGAAATTTAACATAGAGTAGTTTATAGGACACAACTCTCTCTCTCTCTCTCTCTCTCTCTCTCTCTCTCTCTCTCTCTCTCTATATATATATATATATATATATATATATATATATATAATCAATGAAAAGGGCAAATGCATGCTGAGACCTCAAAATAGTGCTGGAGTATATAGGTATATTTAAACATTTGAACAAATGGAAACTTTTTCTTACCAAAATTTAGTATTGACCTGCTATATAGATCAATATATTACTACTGCCTTCTAAACATATCTAAACATATTTCAAAATACATTGAAGGTGACTCTTACTGTAACATGATTAGAAACATGTTGTAAAAAAAAGCTTTAAAATAAAAGGAAGAGAAAAATATGTATTAGGCAACAGAGATAGGTTACTTATTGCCATTGTGAAACAAGTTTAGCTAATATTTAGGGCAACCAACGTAAAAAAAAATACACATATGATTACATTTTCCCTAGTGTTAGCATAAAGGAAGCATGGCAATTTATCAGGAAGAAAAAAAAAGTTATTTCCAGGCATTGACTTTTCAAGGTTATTTATCACTCAGACTGTCATACAGAGACCAAAGTAGTAACGCCTTTGTTTGGTTTTTAGCGAGCATATAGCAGTATTCTTATAGTTAACTAAAGGCCCGATGTACCAAATTCATGCAAGAGTCGGCCTTCCTTTCCCTAGCTGCCGGCACCATCTTCCCTCTGGCACCCAGGACCTGGGCTTTCCTCACAACCCTGGCTTCGTCCGAAAGGTCATTTGGTCTAATTAGCATATTATGCTTTTATTATTATAGATATTTCTTTTATCATGCTTTTATGAAAGCCAAAGGCTTGGTCTTATATTTTGACTAGATGAAGGCATTTTTGTAGAGGTTTAAGGTAATAGGATATAGGCACTTGTTTTTGTTATCTAAATCTGTATTGCAAAAGAATTTAAGAAAACCAGAGTGCAAAGGATTTATAAGGGTTCTGATGTTGAAAAGCTTGTGGTGTTCAAAAATCAGGAAATGGTTAAGAATACCTGGAGGATACATTTTTTGCTTTCAGAGATGCTAAGAATTTTTGACCTTTAAAAAAATGTTTAAAAATTAGAACTACATACGTATTCTAAATAATGCATTTGAGTTTGTCTTATATTTACTTATATACTTACTAGAGGCCCTGTGCAGGGATTCGTGCACCATTGGGGCCCCTAGGCCTGGCCTGTGGGGATTGGGCCCAAACAGCTCTCTGATATCCTCCGAGGGGTCCCAGATTGTAAGAGGGTGCAGGCCAGGCCAAGGGACCCCACCAGTGCACAATTGGGGCTGGGGAGGAACCATGGAAGGGTTCCAGGTTGTGTCTGGCTCATTTCACCCAGTCCCTATTGGCCAGACCCCAGTGTCAAGCTAACCTACCAGTTATAGCCTCCCCCCCTCCAGGGTTGTCAGTGTGTGTCACAGTGACTGGTCAAATGGTCAGATATTTAGTATATTATGCTTTTATTATATAAGATAATAAAATATTCTTGACATTAGTTCATGACATTTAGCATATTAGGCTTTTATTATATAGGATAATAAAATATCCTTCACACTAGTTCATGACTTAATTCTAAATAGGAAATAAAATATCTAGAAAAGAGATTATCTATGTCATTTTATAACTGTGGTTATAAGTTTTGCCAGTTAAAATAACAGAATGCCACTTGTAGGCCAATTGTGCATTGAGTACTCAGTGAACAAAATGAGGTGGGGCTCTCTTTGTTTATGCTTTTTTTTTGGTTTGTTTTTGGATATTATAAAATGAAGGTGAAACTAAACAACAACAACATCATTTTTTTTTTTAGTAGAATCATCTTTGACCTTGAAATGTGCACATAAACT